TCATCCTCAATTTCCAGTAAATTTAGACTCCAAAACATCCTGGGGTGTATTTTTCAGTTCTGGTTTGCTCTGATTGCATGAACAAATGAAGCAACGTTTGGTTCCTGTGGCCGCAAAGTTGTCTCCCTCGCTTCTTTTCCTCGCTCGTCTCCGGTTTGTTTTGCTGCGTTTTGAACAATGCGCATTTTTGTTCACTATACAAAACTAGGTGAACAGCTCTCTCTCAGTGAAGGATATTTTCTGTTGAAAGGAGAAATTGATGACAGGTTTCCAGATCTCATAAAAATACCAACGGCGCTAGTGAAAATAAAAATTTGTGACTCTATCATCCGCTGGAAGTACTTGAGAAAACCAAATGTTTTCCATTAAAATTCCCCAGTCAACAAATTTGAGGAAAGGTAGTGAATAGACGAAAATCTCTTACATCGTTACAGTTATTTATTACTGAACAGACAGCCATACAAATCACAAAAATGCCAAATGTCAGCTCAAAAAGACTTCATTCTGGCTGCTTTTGCAGAAAGATTTAAACTATTCATGCCTAACATCACACAAGACATCATTTGAGTGAGCATCAAGGCACTGTGCATTTTCCTTTTTTAATTTTTTTACTTTTCTGAGACACTTCAAAAATAAGCAGTGGCAGTATCTCATTCGTAAGGAATTGGGTTTTGGAACTGAAGAGTCCACTGCAATTCTGCTGGTGTTAATTCAACACCATAGGTTGTTAATTTCAATAAAAAAGTGTCTATATGGCTCCACATGACCCAGTGTTAAAGTAACATTTCTTGAAGTGTTAAATGTTCAATACCCATTAGTGTGTTACACTAACAAATGTAGTGTTGACAGTGCAATAATGATACTGTTGAATGTTTCGATTAACACTCATGAGTGTTCATGCCAATACGAAATAATGTGTGTGATGATCTTAACCCTTTTGGGGACAGTGGTTACTACAGTGGACAGCTTATCATGTTATCAGGTTACAGGCTATCATTATCTGTGCATGAAAGGGTTGAATAAAACACAAGACAATTTCAATTCAAAACACTTTTCTTTGATTAAATCAATTTCGGACTGTTCATATAAACGAGCAGTAGGGCACAATGTATTTTCTTTCATCATTTTCACGTGAAAACTGCCCATCATGCCGATAATAAAATCAGGTCCGACACACCAAAAACAGTGAACAAATCCTCCTCAATTCTAAATGCATTCAGGTAATCATCAAAAGCAATAACAGTTGAGATGTGCGAGATTAAAATGAGAGTACATTTATTGACTATTGCTTTCTCCAAAATGTTTCTCCGAGGTATTTGTGTGGCATGTAACCAAAATGTGAGGCTTAAACTGTTTGTAAAAGAACTTCCTGTCAGAAGATTATTTTTCATAATTGATAGTTGATCACCTTGAGTGAATAGATTGCGTTTGGTTTTAGGGGTTGTAGACTGTTCATTATTTTCTGAAATAATCAATTCATTTAAGAATACATTTTTTCATCCATTGAATCCTGATTAGGTCAATGGAGTGGGAAAAGGTGTTGTAATTTTAAAGAATCTTTGCTAGGATCTATAAAGACTGACCCTATTCTTGGGGAGGACGGGATAAATGGTTCATCTCTGCAGGTGTAAATCATCCCATTGTGTCAAAATCACAGCATGAGCTGATTGTCTTCCTTCTTCATGTGTGTAGACCATCATCAACACTTAGGGGCTATTGTTTGTCGCTTAAAAGATTTTTCTTCCCTGCCGTGCTGAAACTCATCTAAGGAAGCATTCAGAAGATTTCTCACAACAAAAGTCATCTTTTTATGTCTGCCAAATGGCTTTTGATTGACACATCCAACTGGGATACACTCTGCCTGTCCTGCAGTGTGAACCACAGCCCATCTTGAGTCAGTTTAGTTAAGGTAGTTTTTCCCAATTCAGAGAAACCTCCGTGACCCATCAAATTTGAACCACAAAGCCACAGACTCCACTCGGAGCCAAATTGACTCTGTCTTGACGACGCGAGCGAGGCAATAACTAGGTTGGAAAGTTCAAATGATGCCTGTCAGGCCTCGATACGATTCCCTAGACTGTCGCTGCTGTTAAGTCTCTGCTGTTAAATAAGGAGCATGTCAACAAGTAGGAACCAACAAGAGTTACCTATGTCTTTTTTCTCTTCTCAAATCATGCTTTATCTATGTTGCTCTCCTCTTTCATCCATAACTGTTTAAAACAACAAAGTGTATGCAGGAAATGTGGTTAAGATTGCACGACTGTCTGTGTCTAATGTGTTGTGTTGTATTATTTTGTCATTTTATGTTTACTGTTCTTTTGATGGTGGCGCAGGCACCCGCAGAGGCTCCTCTTGTTGTCTTGTCTGGTTGAGAGGGAATAAATTTCATCGGTGCTGTGTGTTACACATACAGCGCATTTGACAATAAAGTTGTACTTGACTTGACTTTTCTTGACTTGCCATTTTGTATGTCAAAAATGCATCATACAGCATTTCATAGGGATGTGGGATGATATGCAAAAACCCACCGCTCATATCTCAAAATATACAATATATGCAAACACACCCATCTTGGCAACCACGCACACACACACCCACGCACACACACATACAACCAAAAGACAGAATAAAAACTGGAGGACAGTAAGAACTAGTCAAATGGGGTTAAAAAATAGATACATGATTAAATAAATGAGTCGATAAACTGTCTAAATAATATCTTTTTTTTAATCGACTAAAAGCAAAATAAAGAAAGAAAGAAATCAGTAAAAAGCTCAACCAAACAGCCTCGGTTAAAGACATCAAAAGTCAATTCCTGATGCCCTCTGGCTAGCTGTTCTAGAGGCAAGGGCAATATTGGCTTACTTCAGCCTCTCCGTAAGGTTTTGTTCTAGCTCTAGGAACAATTGAAACCTCTGCACAGGGTTCATATGATAAAAGCATATCAGATAGTGAAGATGCGATGGCGTAAAACCATTAACATTTTTAAAATCAGCATAAAAAAGTTAAAATTGATTCTGAATCAATTTAGTTATCTTAAAATGTGCTCCTGCCCTTCAGTCTTCATTAGCATACGAGCAGCTAAATTCTGAAGCAATATTCTAAACAACTGTATATAAAAGCACGCAAGACCACCCCCGTGTTAGACAGAGAGAGAAATGGGCGGATTCTGGCTTTTTCCTTCTAATGGTAAAAACCTCGGTTTGGTTAATGTGTGGAAAGATTTCAGCTCAAAGTAAAAAAATGACACGCATGTTCTTTGCACATTGTGAGGGTTTGAGATCATGTAGTTACTGAAATAGTTTCTCTATCTCTCGCCTTTAGGACAAAAATGAAAACCTCTGTTGTTTCCTTGTTGAGCTGAAGGAAATTCACTTCCATCCATGACTTCATATCTAAAAAAAAATACAGTTAAGAAGGGTATCAATTGGCCCTCTGTCATCAGGTGACTGTGGAAGCTGATGTCATGTCTCCTGATTATGTCCCAGAGGTGAAACATATTTAAATTAAAAAGAATTGTACTTAAAATTGACCCTTGTGGAACGCCACACTCAATGCTGTGTTCTGATGAATATCTACAAAGAAATTACTGTATCAAACGTGACACTGAGGCTGTAGGTTTTCTGTTAAACTCCATACCTGAGGTAATTTAAAATCTTTAAAAGGACGGTCTTGGTAGTTCATCCTGAATCCAGATTGATATTTCTCAAAAATATTGTTACTATTTAGGAAACACTTTAATTGGTTCAACAAAAAGCTTTTTAATTGGTTGAAAAACAACAACAAAAACTTTTACTTATGTTAGTTGGATTACTTACTATGACTTGCTATTCATCTTGTTGCCACCAAAAAGCCAATTATCTGCCTATCTGAAGACATTGCACAGCTAATGTCTCTTTGAATCACAGAGCTGCTTCTCAAGCCTCTTTCACATGGAGGCCCTGGGTTAAAAATGTGCTCTTCAGAGCCGTAATAGTAGATCCACCATTTGAATCGCTTTTTATGCCAAACCCGGCGAAAAACAATATTGTTGCAACTCTGTGCGCTTTCAACTGACATGGCATCCCGCAATCAGATAATTAGACCCAGGACAGGCGTTGAAGTGTAAAATTGTCGGGCAATTGTTCTCAAAACACAAATGGGCAAAAGAATTGAGTGTGAAACTTCACAGCCTGCATCTGGCATCGTGGAACTCCCTGGCACACTTTTGTGATGGTTGAGATATTATTTCTGAAGCCAAAATTTGTGAGGTGAACTTCATCACACCCATTTTGTATCGATGCTGTGATACAGGTATTATGAAATTGCCAGTAATAGGAAAACTACATGTAGAATATTTGTCTTTGTTTCTTTTTTTTTACTTCTTGGTCTCTGTGACATATGCTACTCTGGTATTCAACCCAAATTCTGTGTTTTTCTGCTAGATCAAATTCTTATTTGCAGCAAGAGTGGCCTCTTGGGTATTTTGTTTCACCAAAAAGTAAAAGCAGCTGCTCAGAAATTTTTGCATGTTCTTGAAATCCTGCTATTGGTATTGTACATGTCTCCCTGAGACTTATGATTTCATTTTGTGTTTCATTATCAAGCATTCTGTTTTATTTCTTTACTACGCTTTTGCGGGGGAGGCGGAGGGGGTGTTCCTCCATGTGAGACTGACTGATTTTCAGTACCATGAATATGTTCAGATAAGCATAAGTTAATAAAAAAGATATATGAGTGTTTTGAGTGTTTCAAGGGGAACCATAACACAATTTTTGGTTAATTTAACCCTTTCATGCACCCTGTAACTACATAACATGGTAAGCTGTCCACTGTAGTCACCACCGTTAAAATGACCACGTTTTACGTTATTTCATTTCTAAAGTTTTGTTCCATCTCTAGACCTTCATTTAAAATAATGAATTTTGCAGTCTTTTATTCATTCTTCCGGTTTCCCCAAACTGAGGCATTTCACTATCAGGTGAAATTGGAATAAATAAGAGTTCTGGCAAAAAAGACACTTCTTTTGAATTCACAAATTTTATTCACTTCAACACTGAATGAACATTTTCAAATGAACTATTTCATCGGAACTGTATTCAACCCTGATTCCTGTCTTACAGAAAAGCACAACGATATCTGATCCGTGTTGACGTGATAATTAGAAGGCAGGTCATCTGTCTGATGATGTACGGTCATAAGAAACGATTAATTCTCGTAATGTTTCGAACATACTGTATGTGTACATCACTGCACCAGACGTTAAACACTAAACACTTTTCATTCCTTCTTAAATACTCTTAAAAAAAAAATAGATCGGATTTGGCCAAGACAATGCAATAAACTGATTTCACTGAGTTGACACAAAACAATGAGACAAAACGCTCCTTTGCCGCTCCATACTGGCTCAAACACTTGAAAGTAGCTCTGAAAAATTAAGAGACATACACTGATAACAATTCATCCCACTTGTTGGCATCTACAGAAGGAATAGAAATGGATCTGCCACGTTTCTGTCATGGCTCAAAGAAGTAGATTGTCATCAACTGCAGCAAAGTAAAGCACAATTTCCCTTTTTTTTTTTTTTTTTTGTTTCTTTTGTGGACGTCACTGCAACAAACAAAATAACACAACATGACGCGGGATTTCTCTTTTAGCAAATCTCACTCAGTAACTGCTTCTTTTTAAAATCGTCCCTCCATTTACACTCTTCGTGCGTCTTGTTATCAAAAATAACTGCCGCTGTTGAAAAACAGGGACATTAAAAAAAATATATATATAGAAATAGCACTTAACAATCCTAACCATAATAACAACAATAATAACAATATTGATTATAATAATCATAGATAAAGATAGCAATAAATAGGGTTGGTGAGGTTTAAGTGCAGGGAGGTGTGGTTAGACAAGACCGTGGGCACCAATTAGAGGGGGCGCGGGGGGTTACGATGTAAGAGAGACTACCGCTCATAAAGTGACTGATTGCTTGGCTGCTGAATCTTCGCACGATTACCTCTGATTTTTTTTTGGCGTGGGGTTGGGTGGCGGGGGGTTTCCTTTGGATGGCCTTAGGTTTGAGCCATGGAATTGAGTGTCTCTGTGCCACATACTTCTTGGCTTGCAAAACAGTCCATGGTGTCCCCTTGTGGATTCTTTAAGCTTGGTGAGACTTGACAGCATATGGTAAAGTGAGTTACAGGGTGAGGCTAGGCGAGGGTACATCACACCGACAAAATATTTGTAAGTGCTAAATAGGACTCGTAGTGATTCTCAAGGGCTACGTGGGATGATTGGATGGTCTTTCTCAGGCAAGGAACAGCAATAGAAACACAAGTGTCCATCCTGAGGTTTGACGAGAGGTCTCCGAAGGCCCAAGTCAGTAAGAGTCGCTCCTCGACTCCCAGGGTCCAACGTGTCTGTGCCGCTCAGACTCAAAAGATGGATGCAACTGTCTTTGGCTCGAGCCGATCTTACCCTGCAAACCCATTTCTAGGAGCTCTTGAGTTATTCTTGAGTAAATTGACCACATGAGCAGCTTTAATTGAGCAATTGAGATGTTTCACATTTACCGATCGTTTCTTGTAGCCAGAGTAAAAAGCTCGTCCAAGATTGTCATTATGAAATTTCTGGCCAGTGGTTTATGATTCCTGTGCCTACTTCAGCTGTACATTTATACCATCCTCATTATCAAGACAATTATCAGTTTCATTGTCCTTTCCTTCTCTAGTCCCCTCGTTTTCTCTTTGTTGTGTCCGGTCGTCTCTACCTTTGGTAGTCGGGCTGCTCTCTGGGACTAGATGAGGAGCTCCCTGGAGCCAGGGGGCCACCTGGTCGGGGGTGACTCTTGTCCTTGCCCTCCTCCTGGGCTAAATTGTTGCCAGAGGACCCCTGGCTAGAGTTGGAGGAAGTTTGAGGCTGGTTCAGTCCTCCTGTGCTTCCACCACCATTCCCCTCAGACTGGTAGATTTCCTCCGCCCCGTCCTCACTGGATTCCGGATCCTCTGAGCCCGACAGCAATTCCTCTTCCCGATATTCGCTGACATCCACTCCTCCGCTGGCGGTCGCCCCCTCGCTAAGTTCTTTGAGGCGGCCGTGATGCTTTACGTGATAGCGCTGGTTCTGGAAAAACTTGATGATGGTGTGCTTGGGCAGGTCCAGCTGTGCCGACAAGGTGTGGATTGCCTCTTGGTCTGGGTACAGTCCAACATCCTGGATGAAGCTTTGCAAGATGCCCAATGCCTCCAGGGAGATCTAAAATGCACAGATTGGGAGAGAATATTGAGTTCAACCAGCTAGTCCGACCAGCCTTCCACTCAAATTAGAACGATATCTTTTTAGCGCACCATGGATTCCCAAATTTTGATTTGTCAGTCCAGTTTATGAGTACTTCAGCAAGTTTGCATGAACATGATACATTTTTTGGCTATACTGTAATCAAGTTTTGTTCGGACTTTTTTGTTTTAGGTATATGCGGTGGAGTGCGGGATGTGCCAAAACACCCGCCTTCAGCAAGTTGACAGAGTATGTGGCTGAAAAGGTTTTGAGGAAAGATTGGTCAAGACGATGCCTTTGTGCTAACTGTGGCTTCTTGCTGCTGTCAGCAGTGCTGACAACTTTTTAAAGGCGTGTGGGTTAGACGATGAGTACCACAGCAGTCGGGATATTGAAGGGGGTGCATATGACAAAAGATACAGGCCAGGGATTTCCTAACTGAAGGTGCCCCCCAGTTGTGTTTATGATTAAAACTGTAAAAACGGTTTGCCATTGTAATTCCACTTTCACATTGTTTTTCCCTGTCAAGTATATCTTTTTCAATATAATAATATAACAATAAATGGACTTATTCTGATCATTTCCTCGATTTTACCTTTGTCACTTTGCTTCATCAAATTCGATTGATTATTATTACGACTGGTTACTTTCAAACCTTAATATAATTCTCAAGAGATCATTGAGGGCAAGCCCTCATTTTCAATGATGTCAAGAGATAAAAACTCCACCCCACTCCACTTCACTCCACCTCTACCCTACTATAATAAATAATAATAAAATAATTTTAAAAAAGGTGAGGGAAGACTTGATTTAGACTCTACCTTTGTGCGCAGTCTTGGCTTCTTGCTGCTGCCAGAGCTACCAGTGGTGCTCTGTGCACTTCCAGGCGTGACCACAGTCTGCGCGCCGTCCTCGTTAACAGGGGCCGACAACAGGTCCTCTCTCATGGGAGACGAACGGTGTTCCTTCATCTGGGTTGGGGGTGGTCTGTGCAGCGCCTGCCGAGAAAGGCAAAAGAGCTAATTAATGGGGTGCAATGACCCCTGATCAAGACTACAACCTGGAGAAAATGTCAGAAATGAGGCCCAAGAGAAAGTTTTTTTCACAGCAGACTGTATTGTTAGCCTGTTGTTGGAGCACACAGTAGCCGGGGCTTTCAGGGTGAAGCCGGGGCGTTCACAGTCCACGGTATGTCACGCACTATTAACCTGCTTGACCAATGGACAGTCTAACTACCATGGATCCATTCTACCTTTGACCTAATGTGATGAGGGGTGACGGTTCTAGTGAAACACCAACTTTACATGTCTCTCAATTATTAAAATTTTAACTCATTCAAAGTGACAAGGTGTATTCCACTGATGATTAAATGGCATTCATTAAAAAAAAAAAAAAAAAAAAAAAGCTGAAACTGAGGGAGGAATTGGATGGATTTGCTGTTCACGTTGTGCATTCAAAATTATTCAAGTAGCAGGGGAAAAAAAAACACACACATTTGTGTCTCTGTGCATGTTAGTAATATATTTTTTGTGTTAATGCACACTGCACCCTAATCATTCTATCAGTCTCACTTTCACATAAAGTATTTAAAAAAGAAAATAAAATAAATCACGTCATCTTTAACCTACGGTGACGTGTGACTGCGTCACCGGAAGTTGTTAGCGCTCTGCAGTCTGCAGTTGCAGTTTGTGATCAGAGTTGTTGCGCTATATCTTTTATCGTTATCATTATTCTCATTCAGAGTTTGTTTTGTACAATTCACCGAGGGGACAGGCAAAGAATGGGAATCTGGAGGGCCGAGAGAAGCATTTTAAAACGGTGCGCGTGAGCTACGTTCGTTAACAGGATGCCTAAGTGCGTCACATGCCTCAGCATCAGGCTATTGCTCATCATGGCATGCGTGTGTACGTGTGTGCGTGCGTGCATATGCGCGCGTGCGCGGTAACGGGTCGATCACGGGAGGTTGGTTGATCGAAAAGTAGATCTTCGGTCAAAAAAGTTTGGGCACCCCTGCTTTAGGCAGTTTGGAAGAATTTCCTTTCAACCTGTGAGAGATGCATGTAGAGAAAATTATTGTAAGTGGAGAAAAACAAGTCTGGGTTTGCGAACGCATTTGGTGTTCCGACAGCTCCAGGATCAAGTGTTGCGAGACTTGGCTTGTTTGTCAGAAGGTGGTGGCGTGTTGTGGTCGTGTCACTTTAAGAGCAGGGCGGGGTCCTCCACCACTGGAATGTCCAGCTATAAATCTGCGGCGCATTAAAATTAAAGGAGTCACGTAAAGATAATAGTCATTCTCTCTTCAATAATGACAGGGTATTACTTCAATAATGGTGAGGGCAGGCTCCGATTTCAATTGCGGGGGGTGAGGGGTGGGGGTGGAATGGTCAGCTTACAGGAATTTGGTATGTTTATATTTTCCCTCCCTGGCCCGTGCTCGCCTTCTTTAACGGAAAGTGACATATTTAGATGTTGAGAAATTCCTTTAAAAACGCCCCCCCCCGCCCCTCCTCCATTTCTGCTGACGTCTAATGCATCATGAATGATTAGTTGAAGAAGGCCTCTGTCAATCTCAGCCAACTCAAACTGGATGATGCCAGGAACTCTGCATCCACACCTCGTCCTACTTTTCCCCCTACTTTTTACACCTCCAGTTCCTGAAATAGGAACAAAATCTATAAATCTAGAGGAATGAAATCCAGAGAGCTAGTTTCTTTTGTCAGTAAAATTTATACGTACAGTATTTATTTATGTCACAAAATATGAATGGTATTTCTTATTAAGTCCTAGGTTAAAAAAAATACTGTCATCATAATGCCTTCCAAAGATGGGCAAGATGGCAGCCTGTTTTGCTAACAATGCAGTGTGCACTGATGAACATGAAATAAGTTTGAAAAGTTTGTAGGAATGCCATGTCGGGTGAAACAATGACACTTGTTTAAATGAGGAAAAAGGAGGAAGGGGGGAAAAAAAGCGAAAGACAACAAATGATTCCTTGACGTTTTCGACGATATGTTTTGGCCCTAGGTTGATGAGAACAGTGTTTTGGAGACTTCAAGTTTGAAATCATTTCTTTAAGGTGGAAGTGTTTTAAACATGATGGTTTTACACATGAAACACTGAAAAAAAATGCTAAAAATGTTTGATGCACTCGTGTGAATATTGCATTCAATGGTTTAAACCAGTTTTCTCAAACTTTTCTTCAGAGGTGAATTTTTCCAAGGGACTCCTTTAAAATCATAATTGAAATGAGCGCAAAAGTCCTGAATCTGTATTTTTTTTTTTTGTGAGATACAGTATTGTGTAAGTGCATGACATGAGCCGAATGAGTACGCTGCAATAGACTGGCACACTCACGGTACAGAAAGCAGTGGGGGGGACACATAACGCGAACATTGGCGTACTATAAGAAAGGCTCAAAGAGCAATTTGAACCTGTTTTATACAGAAAAAAGAAAGCAAGGGAGCCATCAAACCCTTTTGACATCTGGAATGATGATTGTTTTTTTTTTCTACTTCATATTCTTCTGCATGCAACGAAAATATTTGCAACTTGAAGCTTAGTTTAACAGTGAATGTTTAAATGGACTCATTGAACCACATTTTTTCGTTTCAAAAATCCATAGCAGTTCTTCTCATAGCGTGATACTATAGTAGTGACTATAAGTTCAGGAAAGGACTACAGTATAGTCCTTTCCTAAACCTCCAATTCTGTTTTGCCACCCTGCCTTCTCTTTAAATGCACAGATGTCAAAAATCAAGTTTCCTGTAAATCGAGGCAAATTACAGCACAGAACGATAAAAGAATTATAAAACATCAAATATTCATCTTCCCCTTAATGAGCCCTTGCCCTGTCAGGTGGGGGGCCTAGGAGGTGCACGCATGTTACCACCATAGATGCCATTAACACTGAGATAAATTTGTAATGAAGAAGAGAAAAATCACTTTTCTGTTAGTTTTGTGCTTGACTGAGGACATCGTGTTATCAGTGAGTGTGTTTTTTTGTTTGCTCACTTTTGCGTGTGTGTGTGTGTGTGTGTGTGTGTGTGTGTGTGTGTGTGTGTGTGTGTGTGTGTGTGTGTGCGCGCGCATGCATTTGGATGTGTGAGGAATGGATGAGTCACAGCACTTTCCTCCGTTATTGTGAAATGAATCTTTAGACGAAAATGTGCTGCACACTTTTCCGTTATTGAGACAAGCTGGCGTTGGAGCTGAGTGCACGTGCGCTCTCCGAGGGTTATGCTTTGATTCAAAGTCTTTGTGTGTGGTATTCATTCCATTTATCTGCAATTAAACGGTTGCGTTAATTGTGGCTTGCCCCCCCCTGCCCCCCAAAAGAAAAAAAGCTAGCTCCACCCTGCTGAAGGCAAACAGGAAGTTGAAATCAGCTTGTATAAGGTCTGTTTTCAGTTTTCAAGATTGTGGAAAAATAATACTGGTCAACTTTAATTTTAATCAAAGATGGCTTTATGTGTCACTGAATGTATTTTATAAGCTGTTATAAAAATGTCTTTACTTTTTTCTAGCACATCAGATTTTTGAGATATTGAGTGAGAGAGAGAGAGAGAGAGAGAGAGAGAGAGAGAGAGAGAGAGAGAGAGAGAGAGAGAGAGAAAAAGAGTCTTTTGTTTTTTTTTTTTCTATTAAACTCAGACACATACGGGACCATGTGCCCAGGAATTGTTTCTTCTTGTTCTAGTCCTGGACTCCTGGGGTCCGAGCTGCCTCAACACACCCACGCACCACACACACACACACACACAGTCTTGCATCAGAACTCAATTTAACAAAAACAATAAAGAAATAATTTATAAGGGCAGGCTGTGCCAAATTAGCTGTGGGACGCACTTAACTGCAAACGCCATGTGAATAAAAGCTGTACAGCGAGAACGGGGGCTGTGTCACTCATGAAGAAATGTGAGGTTGCTGTGGGAGGTGGGGGGGGTGTCACTCACAAACGCACACACTCACCACAAATACCTACACACTCTCACCTGCCCACCTAATTGACACAACCCTAAAGACCCTCAGACATGAACCAAAAAGCATAGGCAATAATGTGTTTGTCTGTGTGTGTGTGTGTGTGTGTGTGTGTGTGTGTGTGTGTGTGTGTGTGTGTGTGTGTGTGTGTGTGTGTGTGTGTGTGTGTGGCTCCTCTGTACATCCATTTTTAATTTTGCATTGTGTGCTCGCTTGTCCCATTGTCCGAAGACAAAGGAGCACTTCAAACTATCAGTATGTGTGCAACATATGGGACACACGTGTGATGCGTTTTTGGTCACCAACCATGAAGACATATACGCATATGTCCTATACATACAAGTATATATTTAGATGTATTAAATATACACTGGCGCACACCTCATTTACCATTAATAGGCCATCAGCCCTTCACCACATGTGGCCGCGGGTGGGGAGAATCAATGGGCTCCAAGAGGGCAAACAGTGTTTTAAGAGTGCGAGAGGAGCCGAGGAATGTCATCACGGTGCCACCGCAGCTTCCTTCCTGTCACGCCATTAGTCTTTAATACCGAGCTCGCCATTTGCACACTGAGTCATGACATGTGGTACACGCTGAAGGGATAACGTTTTACACTAGCGGGGTGAGGGCAACCACGATCAGCCCTTTAAAGGGGAACAGCAGTGTGATATGTAACAAAGTAAAAATTCGACTGGATTGAGGTCGGTCAATATTTTGCATTTTATGCAAAATCGATGATCGACTGTAGTGTTATCATTTGTGGGATTGATCAATGACATTGTTGACCCACGAAATAAGATATAACGAACACAAAAAGCACATCTATTTGTCTTGTGAGCGGAAGCATTTGCGTTGGAAGGCGAACGTTCCGTCTCTGTGCCCCTGAACATCCAATCACAAAGTAATCGCATTTATGTTTTGACAGGTAAAAAATTGACGTAAAAAAAAAAAAAAGAACTAGCTACAGTATGCATGTTATTCAACTTTAACATCTCTTTAATTCTAAAATAGCTTTCATCACTAGGTGTGAGTGAGCTAAACTTCCAGCCACGCACATCCAACCAATCACAGATGCAACACGAAAATAACTTTGTTGTTGACAGACGCACAAAACATTTGCTAAACAAGGATACAAGATATACTGCGGTCATTCCAAATGTGATTTGAGCTATTCTTGCCACGTGATTACATAGAGAGTCTATACAAAGATGTTTATGAATCTGTGGCGGAGCCAAATGACTTTCAACATGTGCTTGCTACATCACACACACAGCACATGCACACTGTGGCCAGTGCAGGGAGGTGGACAAATAATGAAGGACAAAACAATTATTGCGGTCCGTGGGCACCGGGACTTGTACAACATAGCCAGCTTCCAATACGAGCCCAATAGGACCGGGCAACACGAACAGAATGTGGAGCTAGGAAGTTAGCGTAGCTGGTAACTAAGTGTATGCACTTGTTTATAGCTGTTGAACCAAAATAGCAACAGAATTTAGCATTTGCCAAAATATGAGCAAAAACAATTTATCTTTCTGACAACTTTTTTCTGACATTCAAAATCCGAAATCCGAGAACTGCGAGTCAGGCATACTAACCAATAGGACCCCATTCTTCCCCATACGACCAATTATTATCAATTCTCAAAAGGTCCATTCTCAGTCATTAACTTTATTTGGATTTCACAAAGCAGATAATTAAGGGTCAAACTGCCCCCATCATAAAATTTAGCCTTCAGTCAATGTTTTGAGTAACATTCAAGTAGACAGCTATTTATATTAAAATGCCCAAACAACAAAAGTCTTCACTTTACCCCTTCATCATTAATATGGTGAGTTGCTTCACGCATTTCACTCGTTTTGAATATTAATTCGTCACCAACAGTACAAAAATAAAGTCAACATTGTTCATTCATTCGCATTAAAGTGTTAGTTGTCTTCTCTTAAGAACTCTAGTGGAGGATGCAATGAATTTTGGTCTTACATAAAGGCAAAGAAAAAACAAAATACGAATAATTTAATCTTTTCAGCAAAGTCGGTGGTTAAATTCCGAATTTTACCACCTGGAGGCTGTTTGGCTTCAAAGCTTTCACTGTGATTTATTTCTTAAATAAGGTAAAGCCACTTTAATCTTCTACGTAATGAACTGCTTGCTTACCTTATTGTTTGGTTTCACTTTTTTGGGGGGTGCATTGATTTATTCATTGACTTATCTTTTGGCAGAACATACTCATTAATTATAAAACACACACACACACACACACACACACACACACACACACACACACACACACACACACAAAATTCATGCATAAAGCTCATTGTTTTGCCTTGAGTTTAATTTCACTAAAAAGCGTTTGAGGAGAAGTTATAGCCAAGGATTACAATTAAATTAGTTTAGAGGGTCTAAAAAGCTCTCTGTGTTCTTTAGACTTGCCACTAACTAGTCCTGGTGTTTGAAGTCAGAACTAAAGTGTAAACACGTACACATTCTCTCCCTGTTAAAGGCCTCTTCAAAAATCTAATGAGGCATTTCCTGTTGTGCCACCCAGCAACCACTCTTCATTCTTTCCTCTGCTGAGACAAAAACTAATGAGAAAGTAACAATAACCACATTTCCACCCAAAGCTACATTTCAAAGTAGTTGCAGGAGCTAAAAGTAGCGTTAGTGCTTACAATGTAATATCCTTTTTATGGGCCATTGTTAAGTGACCCCAGGAAACAATTTGGACACTCGTTTGCGTGGCACTTGTAAAGCAAGTAGTTGTCATCGAAATGTACTAAATGAATAAAAAGTCTTGGACACGTTTAAAGCCAGTATGTATTTTCGAAAATGTTTACCACTGTTAAAAAAAGATACTGACCATGATCGAAAATCTCAAACATGGTCTCGAGGACACGTTTGAAGCCAGTGTGTATTTTCGAACGTGTTTACCACTGTTTAAAAAAAGATACTGACCATGATCGAAAATCTCAAACATGGTCTCTTGTGTAATGTTGTAAGTAATTACACCAAAACTAAATGATGACACATTTGTTGGAAGCTTTACTACATGTGTGTCTGGAGTTATGTTTACTGCCGGGATGAAAGATAATGACGCTTAACTGTAAAGTCTTGAGATGAACAGGTCCAAATGTGTTTTCGTCAATGTGTCGAACTAAAATGATGAAACATTTGCTACCGCATCTGGTTTTGTGTGTCCTGCGATGGGATATATTGTTGGCATCAAAATAAATGCATGGGTAACAAGAAGTGAAAAGTCTCAAAGATGGACTCCAAAAGGACTTGTTGAATAATTGCACCAAGCTCAAATGCACATATTCGAAGGCAGCATTTGTTTTTGTACATGTGTTCCCTTTGGCTGTGTTTCCTGCATGTACACAAACTAATGAGCAAATATCCATCCATCCATCTTTTGATCCGCTTATCCTCACAAGGGTCGCGGGGGGGTGCTGGAGCCTATCCCAGCCGTCTTCTGGCAGTAAGCGGGGGACACCCTGAACCGGTTGCCAGCCAATCGCAGGACACACAGACGAACAACCATCCGCGCTCACACTCACAGTCACTGCCCCAAAGCCAAATGACATTTAAAAAGTTTTTGTACCTGTGTGTCCTGCGGAAGGTGAAGGACGGTGTGTAGCCTCTCGCTGTGATGGTGCCGTGACTCCTCCTCGTACGCCTGGTCCCTGTCGTTCTGCGGAAGGGCAAGGAACCTCCGGATGGTGCACAGGTTCTCCCACAGGGTACGGTTCTCTGGACTGGGGTTTTCCTTCCAGCGGAGCAGCTCACACAGCCAACCCTGTTATGACAGACACAGGTGGCCCAGATGTAAGGTTAGTTAAAAACGAAATGTCAAAGAATTAAAAAAAAAAATTTGAACCTGAGAGCAACTTTTGAGGACATATTGCTCCAAAGGCAAATGGATTTCTTTCAAATCGTCAAAGTAATAAGATGATGCATCGTCAAATGAAGCACAGAAAACTCTACTTAAAGTCGAGTAAAGTATATGTACTTCGTTCCTAGCCTAACTAGAAAGCAGCTATTCAGTGAGACAAGACAAAAGAGGTGTGCTTAAAAGTGTGCAGGGTGTGCGAGGTAGGTGTACATCCAGAAATGGAGATGGAGAAGATTTAATTATGTCTGCTAGACTGGCTCTGTTTGCGACACCAGCTGTTGTGTTCAAGCCGCCACCTCAGGCAGCGTGCAACGCTAATAGCCTGATCATCTCTTGCTGCTGCTCGCGCTGGCCTGGTGGCCAGCTGCAGCAGATGGGTGCACTGAACTGGAACCCTCCCGCCCCCACCCACCCACCAAGTCCCACCCCGACCTGGGGGACCTCACTAACCTTGCGCGCACACACGAACACAAGCATGCAAGTACTGTATAGAAAGTGCGGATCAGCCCTTCGCCGTCTTATGCCTGATAGCGGTTACACACTATTGTCCAACTGGTTGAATAGCTGAATTTCTCATGTCCAAAAAAGTGGAGTTAGGCCTTAAATCTCAGAAGAATCTTGGAAATAGGACTGTCCTCATACTATATGATCAGCGCTTGTCACTTGACCTTGTTGCAGCCAGCATTAAAGGAGTCACCAAGAGTCATATGGATGACGAATCAGAGATGTTTCTATTCAGCAAGGTTTAACGGTGTGCATTTTATTTTGGTAGTTTTGTAAACACACATTCCCATTTGGCTTGCCAAGATTCCTAACTCAGGACAGTATTAAGAAACGCTTTTTTTGCTGAGCATTTGAGATCAGCGCAGGTAGTCAGTGATACGGTTCACTGGCCTGACTACTGTGCGGGTAATGTGGGTTCAGTTCTTACTCAGCGAAAGTGTGAATGTGAGTGTGAATAGTTGTGTGTCTCTCACTTTGCTAAGTCAATAGGTAGAAACTATATGGTTGTCACTCGTGATTAAACGGCAGTGTTTTATTTGTGTGTTATGTTTATAAGTTCACCAAAATTTGTGAATTTCACTAAATACACTGCCGCCTTTTTTGGGGTGGTGGTGTTTTGTGTTCGCTCACCTGACTCTTGTTGGCAGCCACCTTGGCAAAGAGTGCCTGGGACACCTTGGCTCGCTTCATCTCTTGCTGGATTTCGTCATAAATTCCCGACGTGATGTTGACTAGCGATTCCAGCTTGATTGGTAGGTCAGGCACAGGACCTGTTGGCTTTGGCTGGAAAGAGGACATGTGATGTTTAGGCAGTCAGGTTGAAGGAAATTTTAATTGGTAATACAAACTAGCACCGCCTATTAACAATTGTATCCAATTTCAAACGTGATCCGTAGTTGTTTGTGCACACAACATAGGTCACAAGTTTGGGGGCGTGTTTTATGGATAATGTGGCAGTGTACGTTTTCAGGGCAAAAATGTTACCGCGTCTCTTGCTTCAGTTTTTCAAATCAAAACACATTTTCCTTGTCTGTGTCCAGCATCGAGATTTCTTTTGCGCACGATGTATGTTGTATCAAAATGCTGTTTGAAATGTTGTTTATATGTATGTTGCTAACTGTACTTGAGATCTAAATATGAACCAAATATGGTATCTCTTTCTTCAATTTTGAAGAAATTAGTGTTTTTCCTTTTCTATTGCACGTCGAAAGACCATCTGGATTGTTTCGTTGAGTGAGTGTTTTGCTTGTTTTTTTTCCAAGTAACTTTTATGTATAGAAACAGTATTTGGTATGTCAACAGTGAACATATCAAATTCATTGAGGTTGTTATGCCGTTGCAGTTTGCTAGCTTCCGAGTGCATCAAGCTCTCAGGTCGCTGGCATTGTTTTCAAGTCCTCTACAAAGACATGCACAGACGAGGGTAGTTTACATTCCAGATCCTGAGATAATTTGACATAGCCATAATAAATAATAGCCCACACGGCATCCGAGTTAAAAGGTCTTATCGCTGAAAATGCTCTATTACATCCTTTATGTTTGCAATAAGCTCTTACGATATCTTTGAAGTTGTTGTTCCATTATTCTTGGAATTTGTTTAAAAACCGTAGGCATTCCCATTATTTACATGATATGCAAGATTACAGAGAACTCACTGAGTTGGCTATCTTATTCTTGTTCTTCCAAATGGAGGCCCAGGTATCAGGTGTTATCTGCTCATCCAAGCTCCTCTCCCACACTTTCTAAGCACAGACACAGGACACACAGCAGGTAAAAATGGAGTGTGTGCGGCGCCATAAAATCCTGATTCAACCTATGAGCCAATGCGTCTTGTACCTGTGAGAGGCGTGGAGCGCCGGGGTTGGATGAGTTGGAGGCAGGAAGGCCCACTGTGGGGTTCATGGTGCGCTCCCGCTCCTCTTGGTAGATGCGGTCGCGCTCGCCCTCGGGCAGGTTGAGGAAGTTCTGCATGGCCTTCAGGTTGACCAGCAGCGACTGCGAGGCCGTGCGAGGGTCCTCCTCCTTCCTCAGGATCTCTGACAGCAGACCCTGAGTTGACGAGAGCGATTTTGTTACTGCGGTGTAGCTGTACAACCCAATTGCAATGAAGTTGGGACGTTGTGTTAAACATAAATAAAAACTGAATACAATGATTTGTAAATCGTGTTTAACCTACTGTATATTTAATTGAATACACGACAAAGTCAAGATGTTTAATGTTTAAACTGGGAAATTATGTTTTTAGCAAATAATCATTAACTTTGAATTTTATGGCTGCAACACGTTTCAAACAAGCTGCGACAGGTGGCAAAAAAGACTAGAATAGAAAATAGAAAAGTTAAGGAATGCTCATCAAACACCAGTTTGAACATCCCACAGGTGAATGGGCAAACTGGGAACAGGTCGGTGCCATGATTTTTGAAGATAGACTTAGTCACTCAGTCAATGTGGACTTCCTCGGAATAAAAATATCCAGTGCTTGGGGTGGCTTTAAACTTCAAACAAATAAACATTTATGTAATGACTGTAAAGCGGAGCTGGTGTAGTTTGGAGACGGGAAGACGGGAATGTGCACGTGTGACGAGCCGGAGCAAAATCCTAGCATTTTCTTCTTGTTCTTTTCATTGGCTAATGTAGTAATATCCTACCATTGCTAGTTAGAACGCACTCTCCGGTGTTTGTAGTTTACTTACTGGAGTGTATTCACTAAGCAAATCGTCACACTCATAATATAAATGCCTCACTCATTTTTTTTGTTTGTTTTTTTTGCCAGAGCCAGATTTTTGCAAGAAATGAAGAAGTTACAAAAATGCCTGTCTCAAAGAGCTAATCAGAATCTGTCACAGTCACAGTACGTCCCATCGCTAGGTTACATGAGCAAATTACCTGAGGAATTGATGCATTATTCGATAGGATAATGAATCCGATTTTTTTGTGACAGCCCTAGTCATGAATTCCCACCAATGCTCTACTATACTTAGTCTGTGACTCACGGACCTGTTCGTGGGTGGATTTGTCATACTCTTTCCTTGGCTTCCTCTGGCCCATGTTTAGTGTTGTACACATCATGTCACCAAACAGCACAGTCACTACGTGTCACCCTTTAAATATGCTGACTGAGTTATTGCAAGTTTGAATTTTTATTTAGAGGACACATCTTTGTTGAACAGGTCCACGTGGTCAAATTATTCTTGTTATATAATCAGTTCTTGGGGTAGTATTTTTTCCCCAGGCATTTTTCATGAGTTAGTTTTCTTTTTTATTTCTTAAATAATTGTGTTGAGTTGCAGTTTAAAATTAATGCCTGCTTTTCATTGGTTGATTTACATAAAATTCGTCTTATATTTTTTTGTTTGTGTTCTTGGATGGAATTGTTTGTACTTTGAAAGTACAATTCACACCTTTTCTTTCGTAAGTCAAATGATTATATATCATTGCATTGATCAAATGGGGTGTGCTATAAAGTGTTTGGCGTCGCCTTGAATGCATCAGGTGCTTGTTGTCGTGCACCTGCGGTGAAAAAAAAAGAGGTCTAATGAGCTGGCAAGCTACCCCGCCATGCTTCTGGTATTACTACTGAAAATACCTCCAACGTGGGTAGTTGCCAATGAGGCCAACCCCGCGTAAAGAATTTCGCTTTTATGACTGGATTGGGTCTTGATGAAGGACAGCTTTTATTCCTTCTCACACATTGTGCTCTTTGGTCTGATCAGAATCAACGAGAAGGTTGCACTTCCTGTTTCCTTACCTGCGTGCGATTGAAGGCCACCCGGGCGAAAACAGCCTGGGAGACACTGGCTCTTTTCAGCTCATCACGGACCTGCTGGTAGATTTCAGAGGAAACCTCAGAGGCCGAGGGGTTGTTTCCCGGATGGTCACCGCCGACTTTGGAGGAACCCCGCGGGATGGGCGGATGGTTGAGGAATTGCTGGTTGATGGCTTGTGGGTGCTGGTGGGCCAGCAGCCGGCTGACGGCTATCTGTTGGTTGATGAGGTGGGCCATGGCGAGCTGCTGGCGCACCAGCTGTGGGGAGAGTTGAGGCGAGAGCAGCCCACCTGGGCCCAGCAGGGGCTGGAGTCCGCCGGGCGGGTGGGGTGGTGGCGGTGCGGGCACCTGGCCAGTGTGGAGAGGGGGGCTGTGGTGGAGGGGGCCATGGGGCGAGGGCTGTTGCTGGGGGAGGGGAGGCTGCTGGGATGGCTGCGACGGTGCCTGCGGATCTCCGGATCCCGCCTTCAGCAGAGGGCCACCGCCGCCCAAGTGACTGAGCTGCGCCAGGCCCGCCAAGTGAGGAGGTGGTCTTTGGCCCAGCATGCAGAAGTCAGCCATGTTGTCTCGCTCGACTACAGAGCAGACCAAATTGTCAGTTGTTTACCCAAACATTTCCTTTGTTGTCAAAAAAGAAGACTGATTACTTTTGATGTCCGCAAGATCTCGCCCAGACCACATCTTCTCCAAATAATCCACTGCTCAAAGCAAAAAAAACAAGAAGGAAAATAAGGGTTAATCATGGATGCATGATATATAAACGCTAAAGTAAACCAATCTACAGGAATACCTACCGTTCAGAAGTAAACTTAAAATATCATTGAAAATATCCAATATTGGTCTCTCTCTATTTCTATCGGCATTATTTTTGCCTTTTATATATACAGGTATATATATATATATATATATATATATAGAGAGAGAGAGAGAGAGAGAGAGAGAGAGAGACAGAGAGAGAGAGAGAGAGAGAGAGAGAGGAGATGTGTGTGTGTTGTGTGCATATATATATATAAAACACACACACACACACACACACACACACACACACACACACACACCAGGAGTCAGATTTTACTTCACAAATAATAAGAGCCAGGTATCACTGAAAACTACTTTCATTCATATATGCTTAAGGCTTTGCTAAGTGTTCAGAACATGAATTGTCTATTTGTGAACACATATCAATGGAGCCATGATTGTAAAATGAACATTTGTACTGTGATATTTGAGGGTATCGCTATATAATTCTGTATTGACACAGGACTGTGATATACACACGTGAATGTATTCTTCTTTTTACACTTAAATGTCAGCTATAAAAAATGTCACTTAAAACAAATTATAGAGGTCAAGAAGTTTAAAAAGCCTGGAAGGGATTAATTCTATTTACATAAGGTCTTGCAGGAAAAGCATTAAATTGACCAAAATTTGAAGGTCAAACTGATTATTTTCCAGTTGTGAGGTTCCACTGAATTTATTGCCATGCAGGGAAAGCCCCATTGCGGCTATCGAGCATACCTTTGATTTTCTTGTACTTCTTGTACCAGCGACCAAACTCTTGGCATTTCGCAGTGGAGACGTTGGCATAGTAGGAGCTGTTCACGATAGACGAGATCATACTCTGAAAGGCAGAAAAGAAACAAACTAAGATAATTAATAGCCGGCATGATACCAAATGTTTAGTCACGCCACAAAAAAAAAATAAATAAAAATCCATGGGACACACACAATTGAAACAGACAGTAATCATGACTGCAAGTCACCCGTAGAATCTTGAGTTCGTAGCGAGCAGTGACAAAATGTCCAACACACACACACACACACACACACACACACACACACACACACACACACACACACACACACACACACATAAACTTGCTCCGCTTGCTCCCCACACCCCCACCCAGACAAACCAATTAGACACCTGCATCACTAATCTAAAGGGAAACTAAACGCAGACATGTTTAAAGCAAGACTACATCGTACATGCCAGCACTAGTAAAAACACAATACTGTGATTAATTTTGCATTCATGGAACTAAATGGGATATTTCACTCAATGATAAGGCAGCGACGTGTTCGGCAAAATACTTTTCAGCCGCAGATTGGAAGTGACGTTGAAGCACAAGGAGACTCTTCTACGCTGACGTCACGCGTGCAAAGGCGTCCACGTTCGAGGGCGCGCTGCCAAGGGCGCACAGTGACAACAGCGGAAAAATAGTTGCTAAATAAATCCCTTTTATGTTCACAAGCCACAACAACGGGGGACACCTGTGCAGTTTACGGTTACTAGAGTCACTCGAGAAAAGAAATTATTCCTTCCGCTACGTCAGTGA